CCATGGACGAACTTTGCCTTGGGCAATTGCCAGTGCCGTCTCTCTTCTTTTTCTTAATGAAGATATGTGAAAAAAAATGGGTACCGTCGGTCATGAGCCCCACGGACCTGCCGTTGCGCGCCTGATACTCGATGGCGAACCGGCGGGCCACCGAGTCCTTGTATATATTTGACAGCTATCAACCGTCACCGAGTCCTTGCGGTCTCGGCGCGAGACACATTTTCCTTCTCGTGCAGAGGGCGGCGGCAGGATCGAGGAAACGTCCGAAGGTTTTCTCGAGGGTTTTCAATAAATATCAATAATAAATGCCAATAAATAAATAAACGAAGAAAACTGGCACTGGCAAAACTCGTCCATTGCTGCGGCGCGGCGCGGGAGGGAAAGCTCTGCCCCACAACACGGCGAGTGCTTCCCGGAGATATATTGGCCTCGGCAGAGGGGCGATGATCGCCTGCGCACAGTCCCGAACATCTACGCCGTAACCGACTCCGGAGGCATCTGCCCATGCGCCGTTGGGTAGCGGGGGGAAGTGGTAGAGGTTGGCAGTGCGGCTAAGTCGGCAAACACGCAGAAGAAAGGGAAGCTAGTTGAGTGAAAGGAGAATTTGGCTTGAAACTTTGTCAAACAGGGGACGAAGAAGAAACAAAAACCAGAGCCATAAAGAGAAAAGTAAAATGCCAAGTAGCCCGCCGCCCACTGGAGCGCCTTGGGGGGAAGCGGACGCCTAGCGAGCGAAGGGCACGAGGAATGGCTCGGAGCAGTTCCGGCGTGTGCGAGATGATGTCCTTGGCTGTGTCAAGCCTGAGCCCAAGAAAACCCTTGCGTCGCGTGGGCTCTGCTCGTGTCGCCTAGATTTAAGCAAAATCCCGACCGCAACAAATCCTCCACGAAGAGGCGCACCATAAACGCCAACTTGTCTGAGTCGGGATGAGCGCACAAGAAGTTGGCTATTGGAGACCAAACCCAGAGTCCACGGGCGCGCATTTCCCTGGCAATGGCTGTTGCCAAGAGCTGCATGTAAAACGACACCGGGCGTATCACGAAGGGCATACGGCAAGAACGGTGGTAATGGCGGCCTATTCTAAATGTGGTCAGGTTACGGGAAGAGAATGAAGCGTGATATGGTAAAAGGCCACGGCAAGGTCGACCTTCACCGTATACGCTTGGGGCGGGAGGGGCTTTACTTTGATGGCCTGGGGTAGCGGAGTAAGGCGGAACTGAGGTGCCTGGAGGGAAGGAGTAAGTGCCGCGTAGTCTAAAACAAAGCGGGGCTTGGTGGCCGACTTGGATACGAGGAAGACGGGGTTGAGGTACGGACCGCGTGAGGAATGTTCGATGATACCACCAACATGTTGGTTACGATGGCATAGATCGTAGCCTGTATAATTTACATAGGTCAAAAACAGAAGCGGACCAAGCACGGGTTCTTGAGGAACAGCCGACGTTACTGAAACAAAGTAAGATTCTGAGCCATTAATGACTATGTTTTGGGGAGCGACCGGTTAGATAGTCTGCTCTGCTATCCAACCAAGGAAAAAACAGGTAAACCTTAAGATAATAGTTTACCTGTTTCTCATCTCAACTAAAGAAAAAATCAAGAAACGCCTGAATTTTTGACAGTGCCTTTATCTGCTCTGTAATTCTTACTATGAGAAAGTTCTGTGGACAACTGGATGAAGGCATTCTTCGACAAGGAGAATGGGCTAGAGACCCTCCTTGCTTTTCCCGCGACTGTGTTGTGCTTCTTCTCCGACCCTCCGATACTGAAAAGGGGAGGGGGAGAGGGGGGGGGGGGGGTCGCCGGTGTAATTTTTGTTGGGGTGGGGAGAGGGACACTTGCACTTAATGTCCGCCTCCTCGTCAAACACTGGGGGGACCAGACCCCCCTGACCACTCCCAGGATTTACGCCGCTGCGCCCCGCTGGTTTATGCATTGTCGAATGAAGTCCTAGTTCGCCATGCAGGTCCTCATCTATTTGTTCGCGGTGCATGTCCGGAAGTAGTCAACGTTCATGAAGAGGCTGAGTAGCGGGGTGGCGGCTGAGATTGCCGGGCTGGCGGAGCTCATTTGGACGGCATGGGCGAGATCGATGTTAGGCTTAGCCGGTCGAGCTCCATTGCTCATCGTCGGACCCTTGAAAATCCCTTCTCGAGAAGGTCCATAGATCTCTCGGCCTTTCGGTTGCCTAGATGAGGTCTCCGCGCCGGTCCTTGATGTCCAAGGCGGCAGCGAGGGGGTGCGGGGATCTCCTCGTGTCGGAGCAACGATTAAGCCTGAGGCGGGAGCTCAGAAACGTGCGTTGGGTCTCCTCGAGAGCTGAGGCCAGAATCTGTGAATTCAAAATACACGCTCGCAAACGCACGTCGCGAGTCGCACATCGTTGCTGGGCCATTATTTGCTCCGAACGTAAAGTGACTATAGTCGGTTGCAAGCTAAGAAAAAACCGGAAATGCCTCTCAGAGGAAAATGTAATCCTACGCTGAGAAACGCCAGCCAATCGTTTTCTTGACGTCACGATTCTGTGGACCAATCGCGATCCTTTTGAAAAAAAAAAAGCTCAACATGGCTGCTGGCCTTAGCAACGCGACGCTAGTTTCTCGTGACAATTATTCTGCTTTTTTGCACCGTGTTTTACGTGCCCGAGGTTACGCCACGAAATCTTAATAGTATCGGCTTGCGTTTGCAGCAGTTTTTGCGCGACAACGTGAGAATCCAGCGACGCTATCGCCAACGAAAATTTCGTAGCGGGCGCGAGGATTAGCACTGCTGAGAGGTGAGAAGCTACGCCGGACGTCGTCTGCTTCGTTGGATTGTGCTTCTTGAAGAACCGCTTTGGTGTCGCCGGTAAGGCTGCACCAGGCTGTTTCGTCCAAGAAGAATCAGAGGAATCGCTCTCCGATGTCACCTCAGTGGGATCCATGACGGAAGACAAGGAGAACGGGGCGCGGTGGTGGTGTCGATGACTTGGGAGGGTGCCGATTTGTCAAAACGCGAAAAATATAATTATTCTTGTTTTCTATTCATTCAACAAAATAAAGGCACACATTTCGTGCGCAAAGCCCACAAAACTAAGTAAATCACTAAATATTTATTATTTGCAGGAACTATAAGTGCTTCGCTTTCCCCAGCGGCTTTCCCTCAATCGAAGCAGATCGAAGGCGCTGGAAGACGGTATGTTAGACAATATCTTGGACAGAAAATGAATTGGGAAGACGGTACATTGGACATGACTTTCTTTCTTTACTAAACAGCTATTTCGTTGACAAAAACGTATTCTAACTTATTTAAATGTCCTGAATGAATTAAATAAATAATGTAGTAGTTTAAGACACGTTTCCTGGAGGAAGAAAAAGCAACGTTGCTGGCGAACTACTTTCTCGACGGCGGAGGCACTTCAGATGGGCGCAATGCGCTTGTGGGTGGAGCTAAAAGATTGTTCTTAGGTTGCATCCGACTATAGTAGGGCTTAGCTTTAAAACGCATTAGTTACATCGAAGTCGTGAGTACAAGTATTCATATTAAAAATACAACAAATAATACCCACGCATACCTTATATCACTATCACTATATTACAATCCCAATTATGGTGTAGAAGAACTCATTGCCGCAAAAGGTCTGTTGACAACACTAACGTCGTCGTGTTTTCTTTTCTCTTTCACCCGATCAAGGTATGGCAAGCAGTCCTAAAAGAAGAAAAAAATATTGAATTCGTTACAATAAGGCATGTGTAGACTGTATAAATATTCCTTTAAAGTTTGAAATGCAACGTGTTCAACTTTAATAAGGTGGTGAACTGGGCCAGTTGGTTGACGTTATACATTTTCATTAAGGAAACAAAGACAGAAAAACATACAGAGTATCTTAAAAGATTGCACACAAACAAAGGATCACACTCGCCAATCATAAAGCGTGTTAGTAAGCTACATTTCTACCCGTTCATTATGTAACTCATTTTTTCCCACAGGAAGGATATCTCTTTTGCTGACAGCGCCAATGAAGATTCACTAACACATGAATGCCCATGACACGAAATGTGGAAGGCCTCTATAATCTTTCTCGTCACCCTATTTTTGTGTGTGCCCAGAATGGTGACCCTGCCAAAGTCAGGCCGACGTTTGCACTCTCTGCAATGCATTGTCAAAAGCCCCACAATTCTGTGAGCTTCTGTCTTTGTTTCCTCCATTAAAATTCTTCAGTTGCGAGTACAGCATTGTCCTGTCGTGTTCTTTTTCGTAGTCCGTGTTTTCTGAGCTGTTTTCCCCTTCGCAATCTGCCCACGGAATTTAAGTCCAAACTCCTTGAATGGATCAATGACGTATGGGAGACGGGCTCCGTCCCGGACGATTGGAAAGAATCTCTCGTGATCCCGATACCGAAACCGGGAAACCGCCGATTTCCATTCAAAATTTGCGACCCATTTCCCTCACGAGCAATGTCTGCAAATTGGCGGAAAGAATGGTTCTCGCAAGAATCCTCTGGCAGCTCGAAACCGAACACCGATTCCACCATTGCCAGACAGGCTTCAGACAAGGCCTGAGCACGCAAGATAATCTGCTTATGTTATATCGCGATGTTCTGGAACGTCCATCGAAATCTCAGCCTCGAACGGTCGTCGCGGTCGACATCCAAAAGGCGTTTGAGTCCGTCCCGCACGCGGCGGTAATCGAGAGCGCGGGCCTAGCGGGCGTAGGCGGGCGAGCGCTCAACTTCAACCGCGGCTTTCTTCGTGATAGGCGGTTTAAAGTCAAGGTCGGAGACAAGACAGGTCCCGAAACTGCCAACCACGTCGGCGTCCCGCAAAGGGCGGTCTTGTCGCCGACTCTGTTTAATATGGTCATGGCACGACTGCCCCCGCGCCTGTCCAAGATCCCACAGCTTCGTTTCGCCCTATATGCGGACGACATTGACCTCTGGTCAGTGGCCGGCTCCGTGGGGGAGCAAGAACATGCGCTTCAGCGAGGACTCGACGAGGTCCAAAGATTTTTGGAGGAGGTAGGCATGACCGCCTCCCCAGAGAAAACGGAATTTGTCGTCGTTCTCTCCGGCCCGCAGCGAGAAGCTGAGAAGACCAGAAACCTCTACACTTTGAACCTGGCCGGGAAGCCCATCAAGCGGAGCTCGACGGTTCGTGTATTGGGTCTCTTTATCGACCAAGACGGCAAAGCCGGCACGTGGACGGCCCGCGTGAAGAAGGAAGGTCGGCAGATCCTGCACCTCATTCGCCGAGTGACCAGCAGAAATGGGGATGGTTACAACTACCATCAGATGGTTACAACTACCATCACGTTACTACAAAACAACAGGAGGAGCTGGAAAAGTTAAACCGCGAAGCGATACGAATCGTAACGGGCCTTCCAAAGTACACCTGGACTGCGGACCTCTATGCCCACGGCGGGCTGAACAGGCTGGCCGACGTGGCCGAGCAACTCTTGTCTGCACTGAGAACTCGGCTACTGAGCACACGTGCTGGGCAGAGGATTCTCGCAGAGCTGGGAGACCTCCCGCAACCGGCACCGCCGATCCCCCCGGTGCAAGAGCCGCCATGGGAACGACAAATCAATCTCACAGACGATGCACCGCTCCCAAGTCCCATGGGCCCCGATCATCCCGAGAGGAAATCCTGTTTCGCGGCAGCGCACGAGAAGCTTGTCAAAAACAGAGGTGGAAAGAAACACATCTGCATCTACACCGACGGGGCCGCAGAACAGCCGTCACCGGAAGAACCCGGAAGCCCTCTCCGAACATCAATAGCCTGGGTTGACACCACCACCCTTGAAGTGGATGCGTGCGCGCTGCCCCCGGTTGTGGGCGTGAAGGGGGCCGAACTTGAAGCCATTCTACGAGCAGCGATACACGCAGAGGAACGTCACTCCGTCGGAACAAAGGTGACTGACATTACTATCTACACGGACTCCAGGGAGGCATATTCGGAGTGCTGTAACGCAATCAAGAGTCAGAGCGAACGGGTGCGAAATATTCAAGACGTCGCGAAACGCCTACTGCATGACAGGAACGTCACACTACGAGTCGACTGGGTCCCGGCGCACGCGGGTATCCGGGCGAACGAATGGGCTCACAGCGAGGCACGAGCAGCACTGCGCAGATCAACCGTGTCGGACGCAACCAACAACACAAAAGAGCCCAGACACGCCCCAGCGCCGAGTGAAACTGGCCCGCCGGACGACTTACCTGACTCCGCGGAATTAGCGGCAGTTGCCAAGAAGGAACGTAAAGCCATCCTCCTCCGACTGAAACAAGACGCCGCCGCCGAGAACCGTCAGAACCGAGAGATCCCACCGATGCCTCCAGACCTGAACCGCAGGGCACAGGTCACCATAAGGCGGATTATAACCAACACCGCCCTCACGCCGGCCCTCAGGCACAAGACGTTCGGCGATGATCCCAACAAAGGCAAGTGCCGAGCCTGCGCTATGCCGGCGACCACCTCGCACCTGGTCTGGGAGTGCCCAACCTATGGCGCAGCCCGGGAACGCATTCTGTCGGAGTTACCGGCAGAACACCGACCCACCAGCTACATCGACTGGATTCTACCCCAGGACACGTCGCTCGGGACTGTTCAACTCCTGTGGAAGCATCTCTGCCTCTTCGTCCACGCAGACGGAGGGCCTGAAGCCCTGCTTCTACACGGCCCGCCAAGGAAAGAAATCCCCCGTGTCTTTCCCCCGCCGCTGCTGATGCCGTAGGACAAGAGCAGTCAAGAAAAGGCCCAATAAAGACGTTTACAAACCAAACCCCATAATGTTCAACTTTGCTGCGACGACTGGATGCACACGACCAGTGTTGGGCAGTAACTAGTTCCTAGTGACGCGTTACCGGTAACTAGTTACTTTTTCCGGTAACTTTTACCTGTAACGCGTTACTCTTTAATACTGGTAACTTGTAACTGTAACACTGTTACTTTTTTTATTGGGTAACTGTGACTGTTAGGCCGTTACAGTTACTTTCTTTTTTCTTTTTACTCTATAAATTAGAACCTACTTTCGCGGACATAGAAATCACCGTCTTGAAGTATTTTTCTCCAAAACTTCTCGCTGAGAACAAAAAAGCGTGGTTATGCAATAAACAAACCGAAAATTGCCTGGTTTAGCCCACGACCCAGAACGGACGACGGACGAGTCAGCACGAAACCGGGAGATAAAGGAAGCGGCGCCTGCGGTGGTAGGGGCGGCAGACGATGTCTGTTTCACCGACTTTGGCTCACTCTTCTCTCGTGGGGACCATCCGCGGGTGTCGGTGGTCGTGCAATGTCTCCGAGTGTTCGGTTTGGGCTGTGTCTGAATTAATTTTCAAGGAAGCCGTCCCGATATTCTGCAGAAAGCCGGCGCTTGTTTAACTTATTCTATTCGGATCCGCTCGAGTAAACATGACATCCACAATTGGCGTTTCGGATATATCCCATAAAATATATGTGACCATCTCTGTCCTCATTCGTTTCGGAGTGGAAAATAAACCAAAACGTTTACTGACGCGGGCCGATGACAATTTTGAAAAACGGTTGATTCAAAGTTAAAACAAGTATTGGAAATAAATTATGCACATCAAAATGCTGAAATGGCGAATGACGCAAAAAAGAAACACCCTTTGGGTTTGAATATTTAAAATTTTCTCAGCTTACTTTTCTTGTCACCGCACTGTAACAAATAAAATAATATTGTTTTTGTTTGTGATTTCTTGTGTCCGATTTTTGTACTGTAACGAGAAAGTAACGGCGTTACTGTTTTTTCAGTAACTGTAACTGTAACACGTTACTTTTTGAAACCGGTAACTGTGACTGTAACAGATTTACTTTTTCCTCCTAGGTAACTGTAACTGTAACACTGTTACTTTTTACTGGTAATGTGCCCATGACTGCACAAGACGTGCCAATTATGAAGAAAACATATATACAGTAGAACCTGTATACGAACCGTTGAACGCTGAAATGAAGTTCTCGGCGTAGGTGCCCAGAGTGTACAGAAAAGGCTTGCGCGAATCGGCGTGTATAAGAGGCGTCCAGTTTTCATGACATACATTTGAGCGCTGTCGTTCTAAAGGACAGGGAAGTGTTATATTTAATATATGCTTGTGAGATTTATATTAGAACGCTGACAAAGTATTATGACTGAGCTTCGTGAAAACGATACGCATGCGAGAAAATGCCTGTCGACGCAGTCGGAAATACTAACCCAGCAAAGAGGAATTTCGAAACCTTCCCTCATCCTCCGGTGGCATCGAGTGGCAGGCTCGGAAAACCTGACGACGCGAAAGGTCTCAGTTACAAAGGGCACCGTCTCGGCCTTCTTTCTACACTTCCCGTGTTAGCTCGTGTTAGCTCTAACATTCCGGCAAGCAGACGTCCCACCTTGAACGCAAACCGCTAAATCTTTAGCTGCATTCGGAGTTTCGTGTCTATCCGTCCCTTTTTTCTTCCCTCGCTCCAGGGTTGCTATGTCTATCCTTAACCAGTTCGCCTGCTTACTTGCTTTAACCGCCAAGCCAACCTCGGCTTCGTAGACCTGTCCGTAGATTTTTGATATGGTGATTTCACCGCACCCTTCGTGTCACTCAGGGGGCTTCGAGTAACTTCACAGACGACTAGCTGTGTAACCGGCCGGGACGGTACCTCAGTGCCATGTTTTGGGGGTATCTGTGCCTACGATGATCTTGTCTTTGACGACGGTCCGGTAACTACTGCGGAACGATGTACACCAGAATACGTGTTTGATGAAACCAACATGAGAAGTATTTTACAGCGAAGCTGTATACCTCTACCAGCCAAGGAAATTTTCGTGTCGTCGTTGCAAGAAAAAAACTCCCGGCGAAAATTGAAGGCAAAACAACATATCTCCTTTGAAATCAGGCATACAGCATACAGCTCATTATTCCTTTCAATAAGGAAAAAACACTAAACAAGCATCAAAACCACATAACGCATGATAAGATGCGTGTGACCAATAGGAACACCCTCCAACGCGTTCTGGTAAAGATTAGGTTTGCAGCTGCTTCGAAAGGGGTTGACGTCATTCGAAACCCTGGTGTGAAGTGCGAACCGCATAATGGCTGTTAACGGCGCCTGCTGCCGCGGCGACGGCAGCTTGCGACGTAGGGAGTGACGTCACTAGCTTTTCATATATAAAAGAACCCGCCCATACCCCTTTTCACCTATACGCCCGGACGCAGCGGATGCTACGAGCTATCTTAGCCAATCCCGCTCTGTGTGGACGTGGCCCGTGATACGCTTTCCGCGCGTCGCTGTGCCCCTTTCTAAGGTCACGTGACACTCACGGCCTCCGATTGGCTCCGATGGCTCGTAACATCCCCTGCGCTTAAACGTAAGATGAAACAGGGTACTGCAACTGATTTCATTGTTCCTGAAGAACCGCGATGAATAGGCCGCGCATGTTTAGGACTCCTGAGGAGCAGCGTGGATACTAGGAGCGGCAAAGGGAAAAGAAACTGCAATACGACCAGCGGCGACGTGCTGCAACCGGCGGCGGTATTTCGTATAGGGCAGTAGGCAATCGTTGCAGGTGATACCACAGCTTCGCTGACAAACCGCCTTCAGAGCGTGAATTGGAGCCCCAATTTGTTTCGCTTTTTATTTTATAAGATTACTCATTTCTTGTTGACGGATCGAGTTGGGCATACTGAAATGAGGTGAAAGCGACTGTTTTTGTTTTCGATTTCCATCTCTAGTGTAAGATGTTCGCGTCAATCGTGGTGCCGGACACTTGTGTAGCGCGATGCTTAGGTAAGCATACATTGTTTAGAAACGACTATCGCAATGCATTGCTTGCTGTCGTTCGGCAATTCCGCACAATGCGCACGCAAAATGGCACTTCAGGAGTCGCACCGCGGCGCCACCGTCTTGGCACATGCCACCAATAAGTTAATCACAGTGCTTAAATACATTAGAGAAAGTAGCTCGCTCGATTGGCAACAATTTGCTCTGCCGCTCCGTGTCGCATCAAACCAGGAACTTCAAGCGCATTTCAACAAACCTGAGCAGGACGCAAAAAAAGATGTTTGGAGGAAAATGAACGAGAAGACTTTAGTGAAACAAGTCGTAACCAGCTTGAGAAAGAAAGGCACGCCGAAGCACAAATCCACGAGAATGGTTTCACGAAATCTCACTCGCACGGTTGCAGTACCACTTACGCTCCGGGCCGTAACGGCTTAAGTGTCACGCCAAATTGGACACGGAAATGTTTTGTTAAAACTCCAAATGCCTCACACGAATGCTGGCCGCTGCCGTAGCGATCGCCTTACTTCGTGACTCAGAAGTTTGTGCTCGTGACGGCTAATGTTTACGTAATGGCCAGCACGACGGATAGCCACAGCCGCCAGACAAGTTGCAAAGGCGAAATCCACTTCTTTTATTCTTACTCATTCTGCCAGCTATCGTTTGGCAGCCAATGCATGAAAGGTAGTACGTAACAAGATGTTCTTTCCATGCGTAAATGAAGTGAACAATAACTGGAAAAGACTCCCCTGACACGCGCCAAAGTTAATGCAGAGTTTTCGAATAGTGGACCCCAACGCTTTTGGTCCCCCGAGCAGCTATGGGTGTCGCACGGCGCAAGTACAGAGGTTTTCCGCGTGTAGCGCGACGCCTCTAGCTGTTACTACGGTGTATGCGGATTCACCCTATAATGAACCTCAGCGGAACCTACAAACCATTAAATGCCAATCTCTTCTCGCGTGAGCATCACGTGACCTCCCGGGACTGGCACAGCTCAACACCATCTAGACTGACTAAGGCCTCTCCAGTACCTTCTCTCAACATCGCTTGACGTCAACCGATGTGTCCGGCTTCTCCGGTCATCTCGACTCGGCTGGACCAAGCCGAGCCAAGACGCCGGGCAAGTTCTAGCTCGTTCGCCCAAGCTGTTCGCCCGCCATCAAATACGTCTTCAAATTCATCAAATAGGCAGTCGTCAAAGTTAGAAATTGTTTATTATGTGCGCAGAGCTTAGAACATCCAGATCGTTGCGTAATTCAAGGGGAGCTCGAGGTCGTCTTACTGCTGCTAAGCAGCTCAGCAGGATTCTAACTCTAGACCGAAACCAGTTAAGGCTTAGCCATTTATAAAAAGAAAATAGAAATACCGTCCCTCCCAAATTACACAAAACTAAACGGTAGCGTAGCTGTCAGGAAAAATGGCCGTCTGCAAGTAAAACAAAGCGAGGCCTAATGAAAACCGTTTCTTATTTATCCTGATCTCAAATTTCTTTCCGTGCAGGTCTTGAGAGGCCCACATTCCTTGCACGTTTCTTCTGCATCACAGTCCGCATCAGAGCAGACACTGTCACGTACGGATCGTCCCTGTTTCGGTCAAGAATCTCTTCAAACGGAAAAATAAATTCGACGAAACGCTTAGTCTCCGCCGCCATTGCCGAACGACTAAAAAATAAAGATGTCAAAAGGCCTGGCAACACCAATTAGACTGACAGGCCACTCCGCTCTTCTTATGACGGCCCATCTACGGGACCGGCCGCCTGACATTTCTATTTTTCAGTCGTTCAACGTTGGCGAAGGAGACTATGGCATAGTGCGTTTAGACTAATACGTTTTTCATTTCATTTTATTTTATTACCTTAAAGACCCTCTTTTAGGGGGTATTACATGAGGGGTGGGGTTAAAAAATAATCAAACATAGGTGCTAGTCTTCAGGATAAGAGATGATTGGCAACATTTTCGAAGA